TGTGTGTATGTATATATGTATATGTGTTTTTGTGATATGTGTATGTGCATGTGTGTGTATGTATGTGTGTATGTATTTGTTTATGTATGTATGTATGTATGTATGTATGTATGTATGTGAGCGAGTGAGTGAGTGAGTGAGTGAGTGAGTGAGTGAGTGAATGAGTGAGTGCGTTTTTGTATATGTATATATGTATATGTATATATATATATGTATATATATATATGTGTGTGTGTGTACATACATAGGTGCAGTATAATGGTCAGAGAAGTATTAAACGACAGTTCGTGAATTCGGAATGTCGGACATGTAATTAACATGTGTTTGTTCTTGAGCCGGGGATGCTGTCTGGAAGGCCAGGAACCCCCTCGCAGATTCTAGCAATGAATCTGCGTTAGCCTAGCCTTGAAGGTTGCAACCTTTAGTCTCCTAAGGCAGGCACTTCATGGTCATCGTCATGCATAAGCGACAGGTGTCGTTACAACCGCCATGATAGCTGCAGAAAAATGGTGGCGATGGTTAGCATGCTTATGGTGACCATGCCGGTGATGAAGATTGTGATCTTGTCTATGGCTGTGGCTGTGGCAAAGAACACACGCGGAAACGCCATGTTTTCCGCCCCCAGAAGCCCAAGTCGGAGAGTCAGGGTTTGCAGCCCTTGCCCGTATAAGGACAGGGAAGGTTTACTTATATAAGTTAAAGTTACCATAATACAGAAACCGTATTATTTACTATAGATCCCCATTATGGTAACTTAAATGACATCAGGTTCAGGTAACGGTGAACTTGGGCCGCTAGCGGCCAGTCTGTACCTGGCATGCAAAGCGGGGAGTGCGGTAAGCTCCATGCCTCCACTGCGCAACTCCTTCATGCTTTGGTTTGTCGAGACCCGTCCGGCGACTGGTCTCTCCGGTAAGTCTTGTACAGTTTATTGATTTGGGGTTTGCAGAAGATCGCGAGAATGATGCAGGTGGGTGGGAATCCCAACAACCTAACGATTGCAATGTGTCTCATTTTTTGTCCGGCTAACAGGCTGCGCTTCAGTTGTCCACTCGATGCAGGAAGTGGAGTATGTCCGGGGCATGTCCCGAGCTTTACAGAGCCACTTGGCACACAAGGGTTTGCAACTGTGGTTGTAAGTTGCGCTTTCTCCTCTCGCCTAGGCATTGAGAATGCAAGCGGCCACTTGCATTGGAGTCTCGGCCTACAGTTAGTTGAGGCTAGCCAGCACAGAAGAGCGAGTAGAGCAGCGGTCATCATCTTGGATTCCAGCATCCACACCATCATCATCATCATCATCATCGTCACCAGCGTCACAATCGGTGGTGTGGAACTAACCATTGATCACCGGCCTGACCAAGATGATGCTTGCGTTTGCATGCCTTGCTAAAACTTGCACGATCATGACATCATGTGGTGGTTGTTCTGCCTTGCACTCCTCTTTCTCCGCAGAGCCTCTGTGCTCTGCGAGATCCTGAGCTCTCTTTGCAAGCAGCAAGTAGGGCTGCTTTATTTCTGCACATGGGCCTTTCGCTGTAAGAGTGCAGAACCTAGGCGGTTTGTGCGAACTGGCTGGCTGCTGGGCAGCATTTCTGCAGAACATCTGGGCCCAGCGTTGCTGCGCTTCGTCTCTGCAGGAGTGCCGCTCGCTGCATGGGGGCCTAGTTCGGTGAAATTAGCTTTCCAGCGGTTTTTCAGGGTTTAGGGATCAGGGTTTAGTGTAGCGTTTAGGGTAATTCATTGACATTTTGACATTCACGCTTCGCGCGTGCGGGTTCCTGCAGAAAGGCGGGCCCTGATCGATCTGCGACGTGCTCAGTCTGCCCTGGTTTCAACACCTCGACACTAAAACGGTCTATCTTCCCAGACCCTCGACAAGTGCAGGCCCCAAGACAATCGAGGCGACACACCACAACGCATGCGCGTGCAGATCCACTGAAACTTTTTCTGGGCGCAGCCACGTTGGATGATCTTGAACTGATGGGTTCACTGAGGCGTGGGTGCCTCGTATCTGACTTGTACTTGCAGCTTATGGGATCTTAGCCTTAGTATGAAGTCCAACTATTAACTGATCTTGTGAAAGAAGGTATCCCCTCCTGCAACCCAGCAAGTCTCATCCTCAAAGTATATAGTGACCTGTGCAACTCGAAGTCCAAGTGCCCTCAGTCACAGCCCGCAGAAGGAAAGACCCTGCTTCAAACTTTGCCGGGCCAGCTTCAAGCTGGCACAGCAGGGGCAGCACACCACTTTGAAAAGACTTCGCCCATGTCGGAGTTTTCCTCGATGACGGCCACGACACGACGGCACTACCGCTACTGCTCCCAGTCCTGCCGCTACTCCTGCTACTGCTACTGCGACCTTCCATGACCTTTGATTGCTGTTTGTACTTTCCTGAACATGCTCCTAGCCTATAAGCCTTAAGGAGGGCCCCATCGACATTTGCAGGAAGACAGACGCGTCGCATGCATTGCCCGGTGCTTTTAGGTATATACTGGGTCCTTGTTGGATACAATTTTACATTTTTGTTATAATAAAACCCTCATAAGGATTAAAAATGATCATGTTTAATATGGCCCCAACAGGGAACCAGTATACGGGTGCGAACAAATGCAAGAAATTCTAGAAATCGCGTCACATCACGTTCGACACTGGAGAGCTAAACTGTGCGTCTGCTTCAACCAGCGCTCATGCCGGTTTAGGGTTTAGGAGTCTGTTTGCGATGTTTCCTTTGCACTTTGAACAGCCTCCTTGCTGCGGATGTTTGTACCTCACGGCTGGGAAGATGATTACACCTTTCCCCAGGGGTCCAAGTACCTAATAATCATAGACTCTTCTGAATACTAACCAGTACTAACCTACAAAACTACTATCCGCAACCCAAGTACATTGTTATTAGGTCCTTGGGACCCGTAGGAGGGTTTCTTCAGTACCATCCTTTGCTGGCTCAGGATTGGAGACGTGGCCATCTCGATGTGGCAAGGGCTTTGCCGCCAGGAGCGGTCTGGCTTTGGCCGTGAAATATCACGGCAAGTCTCAAATTCGGCTTGGGGCAGGGTTCAACCTGGCATGGACCTCGTTAGGGGCCGGTATATGCATGCATATCCATACATACATATACATATACATATACATATACATATACATATATATATTGTGGTACTTACATACACACATGTCATACAGCACGCTGCACCACATGATGCTGCTTTGCATCCACACCATGCATGCGTGCATCCGTGTAGGCGTACATACCTACATGCATACATACATACATACATGCATGCATACAGACATATACACATATACCCACCTCCCTACCTACCTACCTGCATGCATGCATGCATGCATGCATACATACATAGGTATTTATGTAAGTTGGTATGTACGTATGTATGTATTTGAATTATGCATGCATGTACTAACATCTCATCATAAGTACTTATGTATATATAAATATATACACACCTTGGTGCAGCAACAGCATCACAATTCTTAACTGTGTTCGTATACACGAGTATACAGTATTTCACGTCCACATATGTAATGCTATGTAATGCCATGCAAGGCTTGATGTCATCGAGCGCGAGGGCCAAAGCAGTGAAATGTTGTATAGCGCAAAGAAATGCAGTGCAATATAATGTCATGTCATGTCATGTCATGTAAAGTATTGTGGCGCATGGTATTGCATAGCATTGTATAGACTGTACATGCACATGTATGTCTGTCTGTCTGTCGGCCTGCCTGCCTGCCTGTCTGTCTGTCTGTCTGTCTGTCTGTCTATCTATATATATGTATGTATGTATGTATGTATGTATGTATATATATATATATACATATGTGTGTGTGTGCGCGCGACTTGTTTTATGTAGCAGCTAGGCCCAGCTAGGCATCGTGCATCGCTTGAACTCTGATATGAGGAGGGCAGATTCTGAAGTTCGGGCGTTGATCAGGCATTTTTCTTTGCTTCCACTTGCCTGGAGCCTCTGTGTTAGGCGTTGTCGCAGATTCGGGCCTTCTACACTGTGTGGCTCAACCTTCTGCAGGCCTGGCCGTCGTGGGCGGCATAATGCTCAGCATAAGGGATCTCAGATGACTGGTTAGCAGCTTGAGAAGAAAGACTCCAACAGGGACTTAGTAGTGTGTTCTTCCTCACGTCCTTCTGAAGAATTGCGAAAGCCGGAGCCCTTCCTTGACTTGTTTGACATGCAGTTGCACTGACTTCGAATTTGTTTGGCTTTGCTTGCTGGGATCTGGATACATCACTGATGCTATGGTTTCTAGACGAGTGTACGTCACCGACGAGATTTCAGTCACACTCCCAAATTTCACTCGCCTAAAGCAAGCTTACTTGCAAAATCAACGTGACTTCTTTCACACATTTTCAGGCCTGCATGGAGTTTGACAAGCTCCCCAAGAATTGCCATGCTTCTGTATTCAGCAAGATGAGTATCAGCAACAGCTCTCCGTACCAAACCGTGAGGCCGTCGGGTTTCAGGATAAGCCGACCGAATACGGCAAAAAGATGTGGGAGACTGGAAGTGCGATGAGCACTTACTGGCTGCGCAAGGCCGCGGATAGAGAGCTTGGCTGGTTGCCCAGAGTATTGTTTCTACTACCCGCATTGCTTGCAAATGATGATCCTCTGGTTCTTGTTGTCTGTGATACCTAGATTGATTTTGTGTTGTTGTTGCCGCCACTACCACCAGTAGCAAGACAGACTGTTCTGAATTCGCTTTCCGTAGTTGCACCGTCTGCCTACTGCCTTGGTTCGTGTTCTCGGGGCAGCGGTGAAACCGTACAGACTCTCTCGCACCTCCATTTGCGCATGAGGGTCGCCATTGCCGGCGGAGATCTGTCCAAAAGCAGCAATTTTTATAGCTATGGCATCCCGGCGCTTTATGATATCTCCTCAGAATTGGCATGCTAATCTCCAACCCGCTCCAGGAGGCCACTCAGCCGACGTATCTGCAGGAGCAGCAGCTGGCGATTCTTTTCAGATCCGTGGTGGCGATCAACTCCGGCCCCCCGACTCTCAAGTGCAGTACCCTTAAAGGGGACCCTATGATAGACCCCTATTGTGCCCTTAAATTCAAGGGGACCCTATTATAGACCCCTAGGGTACCCTTAAGGGCTCCGGGAAAGGTCTTCGGGCCTCCGAGCCGAGATGTGCGCAACCCCAAAGCGACATGGTAACTACAAACGACAGATGGTAGTGTATAGTGTAATATAGTATAGTGTAGTATAATATAATAGGCGTATGTTGCAACAAACTAGAGTAGAACACAACAGAACATAATTCAGTGCAATGCAATGCAATGCAATGAATAGCCTGTAATGTAGTGTAGGATCATAGAGAAAGGCTCTAAGTCTAAAGCGACGTGCTTGGTATCTCGACATTGCAGGTTCACGTGTTTTAAGGTTGGTTTCGGTTCTTGAAAGCAGACATAGTTTGCGCCTTCCGCACCAATTGTACAGAAGAGTGACTTCTTCATGCAGCTGAGTTTGTCCATATATATATATATATAGATATAGAGTTTTGGGGTTAGCTTCTTGTTTTGGCATGACGAGGTGCGGCAGGGTCTCCATGCACCTGCCAGCTGCCCTTTGGCCTGCGTTAGCCTGGGGGGCTGCTGCGTTTCGTCATCCTCTCAGAGCCCTCGGAAGCACCGAGGTTCTACTACTCCTTGCTCCGTGACTCGCCGAGTTGGGGCGCCGGTGTGTTCACTGAAGCTGCCCTTGAGGGGATGCTGTACGCTTACCCCTGTGCTAGTAGAAGGAGGAGGAAGAGTTTAAGGAGTCAAAAGCCAGCGGCAGCAGTAGTCGTCGTTGTGGGGTAGGACCCCGAAGTAGTAAGTACTCTAAGCCCTAAGCAGACACTCTAAACCCAAAATCCTAAACCCTAAACCGCTACAGACCTTGCCGAGCTTGTCCGGTGTGAGGTCAAAAACCCAAGCCCTTTAAGCCTAACTCGAGTCGGTGGAGTTCATGTGAGCCGGGCTAAGTCTGTAGAGTTGTCTTGGAAAGATTGTCGAGATGACATCTCTTACGTCCTAAACCGCTGTTGTGACAACTGCTATCTCGCCAAACGGCGCAGCTTCTTAATTGGTGAGGTTGGGTAAACTGTTGAATAGACTGTTCCAGTCCAGAAGATCGCACCGTTGTATGCCCTCTGTTCTGAACCTTACCCTGCAATGCCGGCTCGTCCTTGCTATGTGGGAGGGGAAAAATAAGTCCTAACCCCCAAAAACCCCAGGAGTTTCAGAAGCTCGAACCCTAAACCCTAAACCCTCTAAACCCTAAACCCTCTAAGCCCTAAACCCTCTAAACC